TGGAAGAATTGACCGTAGGATTGAAGAATGTGACTAACTTGGTCAAAGGAAAGGAAAAAGAGGTTCGGAAGGAACAACCTGTGAAGAAACTAATGGGTGATGCTATGAAAGATCTCAGGGTCGAAGTAAAGAAGGGGGAACCATTTGGGCCTCCTCCACCGACGCCACCACCATCAAGTCCTCACCCATCAGGGGGAAAGAAAGACAAAGAAGAGAAACCTGAGAAGCCGAAGAAGAAAGAAAAAGTAAAGATGAAATTGCCTTTCACGTTCAATAATAAGAAGGATGAAAACTTATTACTGTGGATTGCAGAAATACAGACCTACGTCGGGACGACCCCAGTGGAAAAAGAGTCACAGGTCGCCTTCTCCACGTCATGTCTTGGAGGGGAGGCCAAAGAGTGGGTCCTGGCCGAAGCCAACGCGGCAGGATTAGATGACATAAGTGGGCCGGTACGATGACCCTGAAACAGTTCCTGGACAAGATCCGGGAACGTTTCCTTGACAAGACAATGGTCGATAAGGCCTTCGATCAGCTCACTACCGTAGGTCAGAAACATTGGACGTCTGTGGAGGCGTTGTCCCGTGAGGTCGATCGATTGCTGCAAGTACCGGGCTTAAATCTGCAGGATGATCAGGTCCTGTACTGAACCTATAAGAGGTCAGTTAGTGGCCGAGTCAAAGTCAGGTAAGTACAAGTATCGGCAATTTCCAGAGAGAGCAAATGACTTCTCAAGTTAAACAGTCATATGCATCTGTGGTGAAATCTGGTGGTGCAGGTGCAGGTGCGAGATACGGTAAGCGAGTCCTTTGGCGCCAAAAGCGTCAGGACCACATGTTTGTCGTCTTTGACGACGACACAGTGGAGAAGCTACCGTTAGAAGAAGAAGGAGTTCCCAGTAGCAGTGAGTCCGAAAAGGGGGACGTCACTGCTGCCGTGGTCAACAAAGAAGGACCACGAGGTCCGTATCAAGGGAGGAAACCACGCTCTTTTCCTGCGCATCGCGACATTCAAGCCGTGGGAAAAGATGGAGATTGACCAAAAGACCTGTCAGGATAGGATGAACAATGCGCAGTGTTTAAGGTGTGGAAAGGAGGGACACATCATTGCATGGTGTCCACTCATCCGACACCCAAAAGCGAGCCGCCAGTAGGAGTAGCATCTGCTCCTACTGAGTTGAAGAAGTCAGACGATGAGAAAGGTAAGGCGCCTACTAACCCTTTCACTTCTTCGACTCGCGTGGCAGAGGATGGATGTCCTCCGGCCCATCATCCAGATCACCCTGAACCTGTCTTATGTTCTGTCTCTCTGGATGACTCCTTTGATGAGCTTGGTAACGAGTTGCTAGCACTACGAAGCTCATGGGCAAAGAAAGCAAAGTCTAAGGGTGAACTATTACTCGCGGATGTACACGAACGGACGGGTGCACTTTTAGACTCAGGATCTACACGATCCTACATTTCTGAGAGAGCTATTCGCAAGCTTCATCTTGGAATGAAGGTAAAATGTTTAGCACGACCTATCACGTCTATTCTTGCTGATAAAAGCACGATCACTGTCTCTCATTATATCAATCGTGTGAAATGTAAGTTCAGGACTAAAACTGGAAAGAAGATTGTGCACGAAATCTCCTTCCTAATTGAGAAGAACTTGCCTTTTGATATGATTCTGGGAATGGATTGGCACGAGGAAGCCAACCCAGAAATCAAGTTCAAGGAAAAGGAAGTACGCCTGAAAAATGCACAATCTGAACTCGAGACCATCAAACTGTATCACAAGTCTGGATTTGACTCTACTCTGTCTTTCTGTTGTATGAGTTATCCATCTTTTCGATCGATGGTCAGGAAGAAGCAATTGGACCAGGAGGTAATAATGGTGTTGGTAAAGGAAGTTGGTGAGTCTTCGACACCTTATCCTCCATCGATACAAAAACTCTTAGATGAGTATAAAGATCTATCTCAGGAACCTACTGGGATCACTGAGCGTGCTATCAAGCACACTATCGAGATCATTCCTGGAAGTAAGACTCCCAAGGGCCCTATCTATCGAATGTCGCCTAGGGAACTTGAGGAATTGCGCAAGCAACTTCAGGAATTAACTGACAAAGGATGGATTCGCCCTTGTTCTTCACCTTATGGAGCGCCTGTATTATTTGTGCCCAAAAAGGAAGGTGAGTTGCGTATATGCATTGACTATAGAGGGTTGAACTCCGTTACTGTGAAAAACGCTGAACCCCTACCACGAATTGACGACTTGTTGGATCAACTGCAGGGATGCAAGTACTTCAACAAGATTGATCTGAAGTCGGGATACCACCAAATCGAGGTGGCGCCCGAAGATCAACACAAGACTGCTTTTCGAGCCAGGTATGGACACTACGAGTTTGTGGTCATGCCCTTCGGATTGACGAATGCCCCTGCGACCTTCCAAAGGTCTATGAACGAATTGTTTCGACTGTGGTTGGATCAGTTTGTAATTGTGTATCTCGATGACATCCCAGTCTACAGCAAAACGCTGGAGGATCACAAGAAACACTTGCGTCTCTTCTTGGGTAAGCTGCGAGAAGGTAATTTTAAACTTAACCCAAAGAAGTCTGAGTTTGCAAAACCTGAAGTGCTCTACTTAGGGCATATAGTTAACGAAGAAGAACTCAGACCGGAAGCGAAGAAAATTTCAGCGATTAGAGATTGGCCACAACCAAAGTCCATCACTGAGTTGAGGTCTTTCCTTGGGTTAGCCAGTTACTATAGGAAGTTTGTTAGGAACTTCTCCTTCGTTGTTGCTCCCATGATAAGACTCCTGAAGAAAGGAACCATATGGTTGTGGGACAACGACTATGAGTCATCAATGAAGAAGTTAAAATATGCACTGACTCACTACCCTGTTCTGAAAATCGCTGATCCATCTCTTCCCTTTATTGTGACCACTGACGCAAGTCAGTATGGAATTGGCGCAGTCCTACAGCAGGATGATGGTAAGGGTTACAGACCTATTGAGTTCATGTCTGCCAGACTTCCTACTCAGAAGGTCGCCGACTCCACTTACGAAAGGGAATTGTATGCGCTTGTCTATGCACTGAAATCCTGGAAACACTACTTGTTAGGGAGGCACTTCACTGTCTACTCAGATCACTCGACACTGAAGTGGATAAAGACTCAACCAAGACTCTCTGACAAACTAGTACGATGGTCTGCTTTCCTCGACACCTTTGACTTTGAGTTGAAGACAATCAAAGGTAAGTCTAACGTTGTGGCTGATGCATTGTCTAGGAGAAGTGATTTCTTTGGAACCATTGTCCCCTACTTGGATATAGTAAATGATGTGCAGGAACAGATTCGACAAGGCTATGCTAATGATCCTATCTGGAAACCCATCATTGACCTTGTCACTAAGGATCCTGCCCTGTTACCCAAGTATAAGATGACAAATGGATTGCTTTTCTTGATAGACGAAACTGAACAACGGTTGTGTATTCCTCACAAAGAAGAGATTAAAAGTCTGCTGATTGGGGAATGTCATGACTTTGCAGGACATTTTGGTTTCAAGAAAACTTATGCAGAAGTAAGAGAACGCTTCGATTGGAAAGGACTAAAGGAAGATGTACTAATATGTGCGTACTTGTTTGGTATGTCAGAGAAACAAACCACCACATGAGAACCCTCTGGGTCTACTAAGGCCCCTACCAATTCCCAGCGAACCAGGTGAGTCTATCTCCATAGACTTCATGAGTCTCGCCAAGAGTCGAAATGACAACAGTCAAGTGATGGTTGTAGTTGATCGTTTCTCTAAGTATGCAATGTTTATTCCTTTGCCTGCTGAAGTGAAAGCTGAGCTTGTGATCCAGAAGTTTCAGATGCGATGGGTAACTGAGTATGGATTCCCATTGTCTATCGTATCTTACAGGGATGTGAGGTTCACAAGTATGCCATGGCAAAAGCTGATGGAGGCATACGACACTCGTTTGACTATGTCGTAAGGACGACATCTTGAAACGAATGAGCAAAGCGAGCAAATGAACCGCTTGTGCCAACAACTCTTGCGCATGTATGTCAGACCCGATCAGATTGATTGGGACGGGAACTTACCAAAAATAGCTAGTGCATACAACAACAGCGTCCACACTACAACCGGACGCACTCCTAACGCACTACATAAAGGATGGAAGCCGCGACGTCCCATTGATGTATTAACCACGGACCAATTTTTACGGCTACCGCCAGGAACCCGTGACTATGCAGTTCTGTTCCAAGAAGACATCCAGAAAGTTAAGGAGAATCTAAAGAAAGCACAAGAACAGATGATTAACCAGGCCTACAAACATCGAAGACCTACCAACTTTCAAGTAGGTGACATGGTTTGGGTAAAGTCTAATGACTTCTCCTTGGAAGAAGATGTTTCACAGAAATTGCTGCCTGTCTACTTTGGGCCCTGGGAAGTTCTCAAAGTAATTGGAGATGCAGAGGGACCGTCCTACAAAATTGATATTCCCCCGCATCTCAAAACCTACCGTGTATTCCATGCCTCTAAGTTGTTACCGTATGTGGAAGGAGATGAGTTTCCTAACCGGCCTTCTATGATTCCACCTTCGATGAACGGAAGTTATGAAGCAGATTGGATTGTAGACCATGGGTTCTTCTCCACCGGAAGGCGTGGACGACCGCAGAAGCAGTTCAAAGTAAGATTTAAGACTCAAAAACCATCCGAGGATCGGTGGTTCAGCAAAAAACAGCTCCTTAAAACTGCTCCTGACATTGTCTCTGCATATGAGCGTGGGTTGAAAGGTTAATTATTTTTGCGATGGAACTCGAAATTGGGTCGGCAGGAATGCAGTAACCCGCACTCTGTAGAGGCTGGGCTGTGCGACCACGCACTGCCCGGCCCAGCCCAGCGTCTGGCCAGTGAGACCCAGCGCTGGACTGGGGAAATTCAAAGGTCAAAGTCAACTGTCGGGTCGCAGGTACCGTACCTAAGTCCACGAACAGATACACACATGTGTTGTATGCAGGTACCGGGCCAAGACATCGGACCAAGGGAGAAACAGGTGCAAACCGATCCAGGCCGTCGCCGCATCAAGATCTTGACGGCACAGGACCACTGCAGCGGGGCATTGACCCCGAGTCAACGCTACTTAAAGTTGACTCCTGGCTTTGACATCATTCATTCTGTCGCGAGTCAAGGCTGGCTCTACTTTGACGCGACGCTGGCTTGTGAGGTGCTGGCTAATTGCTAGCTGGAAGCTGGCGTTTCTCAGCGGCGAGACGCTGTTTGCTTGCTGGCATGGGGGCTGGCTTGCTCTTGTCTACAAGGTGCTGACGTGGCAGCGCCACGTGTCGTTGCTGACGTGGCTGCTGCCACGTAGGGTGTTGGTGAAGTGGTTGTACCACGTGTTCATTCGCTGTTCAGGCTATCGTCGTCCGGAAGGAGGTCAGGGACTGTGGGGATGAGATGACACGTATCTGTGTGAGGCGACATTGCTGCTCCGTTGATAAAGAGAATGCTGATGTGCCACGTGGCACCTTGAGGAACTCAGATCTGTATCTGGATTGACGCTGCTGGAGAGGGGGCGACTCTGATTGGCCCGAAGGAGAAGTGGGCAACTTCTCTTCTAAGTCTTTTCTTCCCCCCTCTCTCTCTCTCGTCTATGTATGTATATACTTGGATAGTGGAACAGATCTGTTCGACATTATTCATCAACAGGACTGGATTACTCGAGTTGCTTTGTCATTGAGCCATTGGACTATTGCTGCACGAGCACTGATGCTCGTGCGTTGCTGCGAACAGTATCTGGATGTTCAATGAGTGTTATATCGCTTGGGTTCATTGCAAATTCTTCTTCATATTTCGGACATTGCTTTCCGGGAAACTCCTCTCACCAACGCGTGTTTTCAAACTGCGTATGCTCTCACTTAACATATTCCGAATTTTTTTGGAATTTCCTGGGCTTGTGGAAATCGTATTTTTTCGCAAGTTGAGCATTTTCGTTATCTCCATTTATTTCGTTGATTCATTGGCAGCCTAAAATTCGAAATTTTTTTCTTGTTCAAATTGACTGCTGAGGGGATACTTGGGGGGCCTACCGAGCTTGCAAATTCAAATTTTTTTTCTCTATTTCCTGCAAGTTCCAATTTTTTTCTTGATTAGTGGCTCCATATCTGGGCGACCCATCTTGATTGCCCATCCCCCTTCTCTCCACCCCAACCCTTCAACCCTTCTCCGTCCTTCTTTCCTGCCCATTCACCAGCAGTTGCAGGCCAGGTAAGTCCTCATTTCAGCAGGCCACGTCAGGGACCCGCCGCGCATGACCATACTTACTCGCTCGCAGACAGCAGCGATGGACAAAAGGCAGGCGAGACTGACGAGGCCTATGAGGCACGATTGGCGGCCCTCATAGCCGAAGGCAAGCAACGGACAGATGCAGCGGCAGCAGCACGGAGAAGAAAGAAGCAGAGGCAGAGAAACAGCGTCTTCTGGCGGAAGAACAGCGGCAGAAGCACGCGGCAGCAGCAGCCAAGGCCGCTGATGAAGAACGCGTACGGCAATGCGAGATCATATTCAGGGAGGAAAGTGCATTACACGCACAGGCCAAGGATTGGCAGAAGGAGGCCGAGAACGGCGATCCCATTGACGTCGGGAGCAGAGTATCTCAGCTGCTCAACCGTGTCACGGACCTCCTCGCGACTTGCATCGCGCAACAGGAGGATATTCACTCTCTCGACCACACCAACAAGGCGTTACAGCAGTTGCTGGACCAGACGCTCAAGCGCGTTCAACAACTGGAGCAGCGGGTCGCTAACACCAATGCCAGCGCCGGCCCCTCCAACGTCGCCGACCACATCAACGTCTTGGAGATAGACGTGGGGACACTCAAGGCCGGGGCTCAACAGCACGTCTGCGCCGCAGCCAGCTCCAACACGACGCCACGCGAGACCATTGTCAAGTTTGACGGGCTCCCGATCTTCTATGACGCATCGAAGACGGACCCCATACAATGGTGGCACCAGTTCGACCTCAAGCTGGACCTCCACCACGTGGCCAACGAGAACCGGCAAGCCTATCTGTACTCCCGCTCGGGAGGCGCGTGTCAATCATGGTTGGACAACATGCTGTCCGCACATGCATGTACAGTCACCGAGTTACACAAGTACATCACCTGGGCGGACCTCACGGCGGCATGGAAGAAGCGTTTCCAAGTAGAATTGCCCGAGCATCAGGCGATGGACAAGCTGCTGAGGTTTTCGCCGAACAGCATTCCAAGCGGAGACTGGATTTCTGAGTTCCAACGGCTGGCAAGCACGCCCAATTTGCCGATGAACTTCGACGGCATCAAGCTTTACTTCATCAAGCGGTCGTGCCCAGCGTTGCAGAATGCGTTGACTCACGTCGCCGAGACTGTCACCACAAGTGAGGAACTCTTCAACAAGGCCGCGCAGATCATCGTGGTGAATTTGGCAGCCCGGAATACGGGCCCCTCGTCAACCGCCGGCCAGGGCGCGCATCAGCATCGGCCGAAAGTGGCCGTGGTCGCAGCGACAACGACTTGCGACCCTTCTATTTCAAACGAGGCTGCTTCATCTGACGAGGGAGACAGACTCACAGCTGCCTAGAATGGTGGCCGCCCACCAAAGGACGAGGACGCGGCAAGCCGAAGACCAACACCAATACTTCTTCTGGGCCCGGGCAAGCAGCTCCAACTCAAGGACCTTGGACAGCGTACGGTCTGACAGAGCGCGGGTATCGCGTCCGCACCAAGTACCGTTATTGTTTGTGGTGCAATTGCGCGGCCCATGAGACCGCGAACTGCCCCACGAAAGCCAAGGGCCCCGCTCAGTCGGGAAAGTGAGCACCGCCGAGAGTGATGCGACAACACTCTCGACGCCTTCGGAACCGGTTACCCGCTCGAGCAACCTCCCTCGGTTCCGGGGCACATGCGGACGTTGCAAGTCCGCCCATTTTCCATTCTTTCAAGGACTATGCTGCCCGGCTCGTACCTTCGCTGGATTCACGAGCCCAAGGACAAGATGTATGTGCGGTCTCTTCTCCGATCGGAAGCCGCAGCATTGATTCGTCTTCAAGTGGACCTTCACGGGATTCGGCGCCCGCGTTCAACATTGAGGACTTGGACCCGTTGACGCCCGAGGATTTTGCATGGCTTCCTCTCCCTTCCACCGGCTGCTTACCGGAGCCGCAATGCGCAGCTCTTCGCGCTCACTTACATACATACCTAGTCTTCTATGCACCACCAACTTCGCCTACGGAGGACGAGGTCGCGGTGGGGGACATTCTTGCGTATGTGAGCAAGGTGGCCCGCGAGTTTCGCACGCAGCGGTACGACGACAACAACGCACCGCTCCTTTATGTCCGCATCCAAATCGGGCAAGCGTCCTGCAACGCTTTGCTGGATAGCGGTGCGACTCGCATTTTTATCAGCCAGTCCTTCATGCAAAGGGCCGGCCTTGGACCACAATTTCGAAGGAAGGCACACCCTACGTTGATTAAGTTGGCAGACGGAAGAACGCAACAACTCCTTGATCGCTACATCGAAGCCGTCCCGGTTTATTTCGCACCTCATGCATGCGAACCGGTGACGTTCGACGTCTTGGACACGGACTTCGACATCATTTTGGGCATACCTTGGCTTGCAAGTGCGGATCACACGGTCTACTTCCACCGGCGGACGCTTACGGTTCACGACGCGTTCAGCGCCAAAGTACCATGTACGATTCCTCCTCCGCACCCTTCGATCCGGTGCCGAGTTGTAACCGCCAAGTCTTTTCGGGCCACTTGTGCTTACGAGCGGACCGAAGAGATCGGCTTATGTTTTCTTCGAACCATCGCGGTAGCCGACTCTCCACCCACGGACTTGTCTTCAGACCCCAGGGTGGTGCGGTTGCTCGACGAATTCGCCGACGTCTTCGAGTCACCTACCGGCGTGGTGCCGGATCGGCCAATATTTCACGAGATCATTGTCGAGGCCGGTGCCGTCCCGCCAAAAGGTTGCATTTACCGCATGAGCGAGGAGGAACTTACAATACTCCGCGCGCAGCTCGACGACTTCTTGGACAAAGGCTGGATCCGGCCTAGTAGCTCACCCTATGGTGCGCCAGTTCTCTTCGTTCAGAAGAAGAACAAGGACCTTCGCTTATGCATCGATTACCGCAAGCTCAATGCGCAAACCATCAAGAACGCGGGACCTCTTCCTCGTATTGACGACCTTCTGGAGCGCTTGGGCGGCGCGAAATTCTTTTCTAAGCTGGATTTGAAGTCAGGATATCATCAGATCTCGATTCGGGCGCAAGATCGCTACAAGACCGCGTTCAAGACACGGTACGGGCACTGTGGGTTGTTATGCCTTTTGGACTCACCAACGCCGCGACGACTTTTCAAGCGGCGATGACCAACGAGTTCCGAGCAATGTTGGACCGGTTCGTGCTGGTCTACTTGGACGACATCCTCGTCTATAGCCGGACCTTGGAGGAACATCTTGACCATCTTCGACGAGTGTTGGAGACACTCCGGCGCGCCAAGTTCAAAGCCAACCACGACAAGTGCGAGTTCGTGCGTCAAGAAGTGGAATACTTGGGCCACTTCGTCACTCCACAAGGCATCAGTCCGTTGTCGGACAAGATTCAAGCCGTCCAAGATTGGCCGGAGCCACGGAACGTCACGGATGTCTGATCATTCCTTGGCCTCGCCGGCTACTACCAACGCTTCATCAAAGGCTACTCGAAGATCGCGACTCACTTAACCAAGCTTCAATGCGAGGACCGGCCGTTTGACTTCGGGACGGACGCGCGGGAATCATTCTTGGCCCTCAAGGCCGCATTGCTTTCCGCGAAGGTATTGCGGATATACGACCCGCTATTGCCAACGCGCGTCACCACGGACGCATCCGGCTATGGCATTGGTGCAGTCCTCGAGCAACATGGCGGCATGGATTGGCACCCGGTCGAATATTTCAGCAAGAAAGTGCAGGTCGTGCACTCCATTGACGATGCACGCAAGAAGGAACTTCTCACCTTCGTCCACGCACTCAAGCGATGGCGGCACTTCCTCCTCGGTCGACGCCAGTTCCGATGGGTAACGGATAACAATCCGTTGGTGTTCTACAAGTCGCAAGACACCGTCAACAACTCCATTGCCCGTTGGATGGCCTTCATCGACCAATTCGACTTCTTTCCCGACCACATTCCGGGGAAGTCGAACCGCTTTGCGGATGCCCTTTCGTGGCGTCCGGACCACTGCACCGCGGTCTACTCAACCTTCGAGATCGAGGACGACTTGCGGGACAGCTTCATCCGTGGCTATCAAGCCGACCCCGAGTTTCGCGACAAGTACGCAAACTGTTCCTCTCCCAATCCGGCGCCTTCGCACTATCGGATACAAGAGGGATACTTGCTTCTTCACTCGCGAGGGAAGGATCTTCTTTGTGTGCCGCAAGATTCACATTTGCGCACCCGGCTTCTTGGCGAGTTCCACGACGCCCCTGCCACTTGACACTTCGGAGTCAATCGCACGATTGGCCGACTACGCGAGCGCTTTTCGTGGCCCGGTCTCCTCGACGACGTCACGCGCTATTGCGAGTCATGCGAAGTTTGCCGACGTTGCAAACCTCGCAATCATCGTCCTTATGGCGAACTGCGACCATTGTCGGTCCCCTTGCGCCGAAGGGAAGCGATTGCCATGGATATCACCGGGCCGTTCCCCAAGCACAAGACGGGCGTCGATGGGATTCTCACGGTGGTTGACCGCCTCACCAAGTTTGCCATGTTCTTGCCTTACCGCTATAACGCCAAGGCACCGGAGTTGGCTGCGGTTCTCTACGCCGGTTGGATTCGAACCAAGGGTTACCCCAAGGAGATCGTATGCGACCGCGACACTCGGTTCATGTCCGATTTTTGGTTGGCGCTCATCAAACGATGGGGCTCATCCCTCAAGCCAAGTTTGGCTCGCCACCCCCAAACCGATGGCCAAACGGAGAGGGCACATCAGACCGCACATGTCCTCCTTCGAACTCTCATCCGTCTCGACCAGAAAGATTGGGTTGAGCGGCTGCCGGATGTCGAGTTGGCATACAACATGTCCATCCATCCGACTATCGGGATATCGCCCTTTGAGTTTGAGCATGGCTCGCCGGGCAATTCTCCGTTGGACACAATCCTCCCACGGACGGCCGAGAGCGAAGACCACCTCCTCTTCATTCGTCGGATGCAAGAGCTTCTTGTCAAGGCACGTGACCAGATGGCAAAGACGCAGCAACGTATGCGCCAACAGGCCAACCGCCAGTGTCTTCCTTGTCCATTCCGCGCCGGCAACCTCGTATGGGTTTCCGCTGCGGAATTCAGCCTCGAACAAGATATATCTCGCAAGATCCTTCCGAAATGGATGGGGCCCTGGCCGATCATGGCACCCGCTGGGGACGCACCCGGAGGACCTTCGTTCATCATTCAGGTGCCCGCCCACTTGCCCGTCAACCCGGTCTTTCACTGTTCCAAGTTGGCCCTCTACACGCCAGCGGAACTTGACGACTTCCCCGGGCGACGATCGTAAGACCCACCCTCGATGGATGGTTTCCAAGAGGTTGGTGACATCATTTCCCAGCGACGTTACGGCAACAGGCCGACTGAATTTTTGGTCCACTTTGCTTATTGCACCCATAGAGCTGACCGATGGCTGACTCGTGCGAACTTCAGGCAACAGCGCCCGATGCTCTCCCACGCTATGAACAGAAGTTGAAAGGCAAGCCGGCATCTTCGGCTCCACGCTGTACCCGCATCCAAGTACCGCCTTCAGATCGGTAGCTTCGCCCCCGACCGGCTTGACTTCATAAGAAGGGGGGGGTGTTGCATGCTGAGCCTGCACACGGGCCCCATTTGAAGGGCCTGACGGTTGCTGAAGGGCCCCCAGGCCGCGTACTATCCAGCACGCGCCCTGAAGGCCCACGGCGGCCCTCCATGCCTAGGCAGCACATAGGTAGGTAGGGTTTTGTTTACTTGCCCCTTTTTCTGTGAGTGTGCTGTCTTATTTCTGTTTGTCCAGGTGCCGTTGCGGACTTGCAGCCCCAAGGCCGGGCCTTGGGACCAGGTACACCGGAGGAAGGCCCGAAACGAGGCCAGGCGCATTTTGGCGCCAACCCGGCGTCGTTTCGGTCCTGCAGGACCCAAGACAGCACCTTGGGCCAGGTGCACCGGTAGATGGCCGTTTTTAGGCCAGGCGCATTTCTGTGCCACGCTGCAGCAGCAGCTAGGTCTGGACGTCCGGTAGGGACCCAGACCACCTGGGCCGTTTTAGGCCACACAGTGCCAGGTAGGCCCAACAGCCCAGCACTACATATAGCCGGGCCGCAGCTAGGCAAGAACAATTGAAGTCGCCCATTTCTGAGCGACACGCTGCTGGTTGGAGGCTGCGCTAGGTAGAGGAGTAGGGAGTAGTGATTAGTGGAGATAGGAGAGGGCGGAGGCCATGCCTGCAGTCAGCGAGCTTACCTGGCGCCATAGCCGGGCTCCACGCGGTACCTGCACACGGCAACGGACGAAGTTTGTTCGAGTGACAGCTACCGGCAGGTGAGATGGCGAGGAGGGACTCCTCTTCTCTCCCTCCTCCATCTCTCTCTCTCTCTCTCCCTCTCTCTCTCTCTCTCTCTCTCTCTCTCTCTCTCTCTCTCTTCTCTGTCCTTCCTCCTCTTTCTCATCTTCTTCTCCTTCGAATCTGAGAGTGTGAGAGGTTATCCGTAGGGATTCAGGCTGGGGTTGTAACGGGCGCACTGCCCAGGATCTGATTTGACATTTCTGAGAGTCCTGAAACAGACATTGTTTGGACATTCGGCAAGAGACTATTTTGGACTTCGTCACTTGCGATCTTGGTCTACTCTCTCGCCTCCCCCCTCTTTCGTCTGTCCCTCCCCCATCTCTCATCTGTGGTTTCTCCCCATGTGTGTGTATGAAGGAGGGACCTTCCTTCCATGATTGTGGTCCCTCCTCTCTCACCCATGTGTGATGTGTGATGGATGTCAGGTCAGTCCACGTCAGATCAAATCTTCTCTTCGAAGTCTTCTGTTGTGCCATTTGCGCCATCTTGTATGTATAGCATTGTCCATCTCAGTCTTTTTCATCACATCGTGGGTCCTTGGTATACTGCGCACTGCTCCCCAGGGCATGCGTCACTCTCTCTCTCTCTCTCTCTCTCTCTCTCTCTCTCTCTCTCTCTCTCTCTCTCTCTCTCTCTCCTTTGTTGTCGTCACCAATCTTCGATCTCTCTCTCTCTCTCTCTCTCTCTCTCTCTCTCTTTGTGGCATGAATAAATGTTTTGTTTTGTTTTTCTGCGCACCTGGCACACCGCCCGCAGCGCGCACACTGTGCGTTGTAATTCCAGCACACAACACACTGCGCACCGGCCCGTCCCGCACTACGCACTGGTGCGCCTATGCAAGTAAGTAGTCTCCTCATCCACACCACGTAGACCTAGCCCTCAACACTTAATCTAACTTAATCTAGATTGGAGTCTAACCTGACTTCTTTCCCCCCACTCCACAGTGTCACTATAGCTCCCCTCCCAGGCTGGTGGGCAACCAGCAAGGACCTCATGAATTCTTTAACGACGCAAACAGAACGTTGTGCCCACCAGTATCCGAAGGTTTACTCTCAAGACTTACAGCTCCTCACTTCAGCAGCTCCGGTTCGGTCGCATGCCGGTCAGTACCGGTCTAGGGCTAGACGAGTTGCTTAACGAGCGCTCGCCGCTCATGCCCATGCTCCCTACTTACGGGTGAGTCATCCAGCTGCTGAGCTTCTATCCTAGACTCGACTTAATTCATGCACATGTCTGACCATATGCTGACTCAAAACAAAATAAGATGTGTCACCAATTATTTTGTCCAAAAGCCGCGACACCAAGATGTGGGAAGGTACACAAGACACTCAAATCATTCATAAAAGCAAATGCACGACTTATGGGGGCGATGCACTTCACTGGTGAGCGTTCCTCTGTTGGCGCTCCATGAGGCTGCTCCACGCATGCAGGTACGCACTCAACAACCCCCAACATCAGCCACTTCTTCTTCAACTTCCAACCCCAATGTTAAACTCCAAATCTCATCTTGCCGGCCTTAATCTTGCCAGCGATCATCAAAAGTGGATGCAGCGAGTACCTGCTCTGATACCAATTGCATTGATCCACTTAATTCGTCACTTCATGCACATGCTCAATGAGAGTTCACACAAAATCCACATTGGAGACCGGAGATGAAAAATCCAGATTAGTGCAGCTTAGAAATTCCAAGGAATTATCATATTAAACAGCCTCAGAGTTCCAGTCACCAAGCGCTCAGCGCGGAGTTCAGCAACCCAAATCCAGCATCCTCATCCAGGTGGGTGACTCTCCCTCTCTGTCTAACTTTTTCTCACGCATGAGTCCACTCTCTTTCTCTCTCTCTCTCTCTCTCTCTCTCTCTCTCTCTCTCTCTCTCTCTCTCTCTCTCTCTCTCTCTACACACACACACATAGATCTTGACTCTGGATACATCCGCTTGCTACTCAGCTCAACACCAACTACTACAATGATACGCTCTAGCCACCTCCGTCCACAGCGCAGCGCTGTCCATCCAGGGCTGTAGCGCTGGTCAACTCGCAAATAGCGCACAAGCGCTCAGCACACTTGCACACTTCTCGCGAATGAGCAATCTCCTGACTTCGACTGGGGCTTGACTCGTCCCAGCATCTGCTTCTCTTGGCTTGAATTGGACCCGGTACGGGTTGCCCGCGGCCTGTTTGCTTTTGGAATGTCGAGGCCCGGTACCTTCCAGAGTTTTCCTTGGTGTGCTGCAGCGTTTTGGACTGTGGGATGTGACTTTTGACTGTGGGATGTGACCTTTGAGTGTAGGATGTGACTTTTGCCTGTGGGATGTGACTTTTGACTAGGTACCGGTTGGACTAGACCTCTGGGGTACCCGACTTGACCTGTTTGAGTCTGGCCGACTTGGCCTCATTTGACTTGGGGATTTTGACTCTGAAATCCGAATTTGGGGTCTGCAGCGTGAAAAATGCCTTTCAGGAGTACTGAGTGGATTGATATCTTTGCGATACTGAATCATACGTCAGGGGCGGAAAGAGGTAGTAAAGGCAGTGGGCGATGCAGAAGGTGGTTTAACTGCACTCGTTATTGGGTGGAGAATAATTCTGGGAACATCGGAGTCCGACAGCCACTAGAAAATGTAGGCAATCCAATGCGGTACAGTGTGAGTATGCCCGGGGGAAATAGTTTTGCCCTGGGAGTGAAGCTACAGCAGTATCTTGCGCAAATGGTGCCAACGATGGCACCCACTGGGATGCTGATTCACTATCAAGCGTCGCCACAAGTCGAACAGTGGGGGATTGCAGAGTTGGGGATGCAGGCATGGCCCACGCTTGGCCAATGGTCAGGTAATGCGCAGTGGACTGCCCATTCCCCCGGTATGCCGCCGAGTAATCAGCAGCCAAATCATTAGGTGGTGTACACCTGCTCTCAACCCAGCAGATGAGGAACTGGCCAGAAGTCAAATCCACCGCCAGTCAACGGCAGGTGGCACCGCTCCTCATATCTCGCTGAACGTGATGGCAACCAAACAGGGGCCTGCTCTGATACCAAACTGCACCGAACCTGCCCAGATCAAACGCAATTCATCAGCAACACAAACTCTAATGAAAATCATGCAGGTGTGGACAAGGTCGAAAGCAGACTTGACAAGGCAATGATTGCAGCAATACAAGAATAGAATGTTTGAGTCTCTTGATAATGAAAGCCCTTTTCTCGCCTCTGAGCAATCAATGTGACCATGACCACAACTGTTCTTGATGCCCGCTGGTTTCTGCAATGACTTGCTGTTTTCTGGTCGCCTGTAGCCTCTCTTTGTCGAGGCTGTACTTTAGGTAGGACAGATTCGTAATTTTGTTTGGCTGAGGGCTAACCGAGAGACCTACCTGTGAGGGAAAATCGTGAGGGACGTATCTGTAAATACGGGAAAATGCAGGCCCGGTACTAACCGACTTCCCTACAGCTACCCTAACTGCGCATAGCAGGCCCGGGCTACCCTCTGGACAGACAGGCCCTAAGGGCCTATTCTGATAGATGGTCCTATAGCCTATAGCCGGGTCCGGTAGAGGCCGCGAGGCCGAAACAGAAACGGTACCAGTCCGTCAGTCAGTCCGGTCTAGGTCGAGTCTAAGCTAGTTGTAGTCGATAGCGGTTTAGGGCTTTTGGCAGTTGGTACCGAGTACATCGCTGCTGTGCTACGCGTGAACCGGAAGTGGTGATGGCTCAGCGTGGAAGGAGACAGGCATAGCCAGACCTTCGGAGCGCCGGCCATAGCTGGGACCTGCG